CTAAAACGTTACTTTAACGTTACTTCAGCAGAATTCTTTTGTAAACTAAAAGAACCACATAACTAATTTCTATACTACACCTAGAAATTCCGATGTCTTTGCTTATTTTTAAATCTTATAATAGAAAATTAAAAAAAAAATTGTTATATACCATTACCAATTTGTATCTACCAAACTTGTTGGTCGTCAAAGAAATTGGTACCAATAATAGTTGGTACGGTACACAGTTTAGAGAAAAATGAATTGTTACCGTACCAATTCCACCCCTAGTATTTATATGTAAAAATTAATTTTTTTGGTTGAATGTTTCAAACGGTCAGATGACCGTTACCCTCTTCTTTTTCCCCCGTTGTCGTCTGTAACCCACTTCACGTTGTACCACGACTACAGGAGTATGGAGTGTTGTTCACGCGTAGGGTTTGATGCCACATCATCCTTACACGAATGCTCCAAATGACCTAACAATTGTAATCTTCAAAGGTTATCGAATAAGAAAACGTAGGCTCAAAATACAATTAATTAAACATTGACGAGTCAAAGGAACAACTAGATCACTTGCTAAGAACATGAAAAATGCCTATTAGCCATCAAATTACCATGCTTAGCCGAGATGCCATGTAAACCAGAGCTTAATATTAGGATATTCAGAGTACAAGACAACCTTATAAGCAAGAAAAAATAATAAGATGATGAGGATAATGGAGTTGAAGGAGCAAGGTGGAGAAGCAAAGGTCGACGTAGGATGTTAAGTGTGAGATCAAGTTGTGGAGGGGGAAATAGAAATGAGGTAAGGCGAATTCAAATGTATTATTTGTTTATTCCTTCTTTCGATATGTTAACTAGGGTTTCTCAATGTTACAAATATTTATACATACAATTAAAATAAAGGGTAACATTGTAATTTTGATGTAGCTCTTGAGCTTCACAGTCTGAGTATTATGATAACCGATCTTGACTCGATAATATACTCGGTTAGCTAGAGTTGAAGCTCGATTCAACTTAAATCAAGTTGATTTCGAGTCGATCTCAAGTGTTTCACGAGTTGGCATGAATTAATTACACCACTGTGATAGATTTTAATAAATACCCTAGCTTTGAAATGGATTTTTTTGGCCCAACAGTCCTTATTTACTGAATACTTCTTTTAATATTGAAATAATTATTAAATTATTACTAAAGTTTACAATTTTTTATTTGGTAAAATTTAATAAATTTCCACATATCTTATAAATTAACCTACTAATATGTTTATTTCCTAATTATATCAAATTATCGAGTTTTTCACCCTAGTTGCTGATGACTCTTGCAAAACCATCTGCAATCCTAACAGAGTTTAATATACGAAAAGTGGTCTAGAAATTGAACAAATACCTTATAGCTTATATGTTTTGGTCGTATGTTGGGATATGGTTGAGGGTAGGGCTAAACACGAGGGAGGTAGGTTCGGTGAGATCCAAACTTGAGTTATCAGCAGTGCCGAGTTTATGTATATTGAGGGTGGGTCACTTGACCCACCTTTTTTTTATACATATAACAAGTTGTATATAATTTTTTTCTGACCCACCTCAAAAAATATGTGTGAACTATCTAAATATTTTTTTTTTTTGCAAAAATATATCTATTAAATTTTTAGAGCCTTTGTTTTATGTTTTAATAGCCCAACATTTTTAGGGTATAATCCAATATGTATATAAAGCCCAATAGATTTTAATTTAAAAGAAATTAATGTTAATGAAGAACAGTATCACAGCGGCACATGTTCGTTGTTCAACCAATGGCCCCCTTGCCCATTGTTGCACTGCGAGCATGTTTGTATGGAGTGGTCGTACCAAAAGGAAAGATCATCTTAATTAATACAACTTGATGTGAAATGATGATTCTTAGGATGATACGTCAAGGCACCGAAAAGCACTATGACGGGATGGGTATCTAAGAATGATGCACGAGGTGGTATAGTGTGCTGGTTTGTGAGTTGTAATGATGAGAGGAAAAAAAGACAACCAAATACTTTAAACTGAGAGTATTTTGGATGATGATTAAATTAAGATAGTGAGGAGTGTCATTTTTAATGGAGGTTGACTAAGATGCTAAGGAAGTGAGTGACCATGTGTGTGTGTGTGTGTGGGGGGGGGGGGGGGGGCTTCTACCTAGTAGGTAGGTGGTAGGTAGAAGTGAAAGAGTAAGGTGTTCACGGTATTGTTGATGGTGCGTAATAAGCATTCAAAGTTTATTTTTTTGGGAGGTATGTGGGCACAAAAAACAAAATTGAATTATGTAGGTAGAAAAGTAATCATGGAAGGGTTTCTTGTCATATGCACCTCTGTTATCACATTTGAAATATTTTGTGGTTTTCCTTGATTGAGTTTTGATATATTTTTAGAATTCATGAAGTTTGGGAAAACATCATGTAATATCCCAAAAATAGTGATAAAAATTTTCATTTTATAAATCATTAATACCATACATCAAATGTCTCAAAACCATCCACGATACATTATATCAAATCAGAGTCAAAATAGTCATAAATTTAGAATCACAAGTGGGATGTTATGCGATCACGTCAGAGCCTTTACTTTCGTACCATAAGTACCAAAAACCATAAACATAAATCAACAACAAACAAGCTAAGTGAATTCCGAAAAGCACCACATACCATACATAGAGTTAGGCCCAACCCTAGGTATATTCCGACCCAACGTATAATCATAGGCCCAGCCATGGAGTATGTTTCAACCCAAACATGCAATAATGGGCTTAACCTGAGGGTTTCTTTCAACATAAACATACAATTATGGGCCCACACCTAAGGTTTATTTAAACCTAATTATAAAAACATGCAAGAGGCACAAAGATAGCTAGCATCCTACAATACATAATCTAGTGGGTCGATCTTGGTGCGTTCAACCCACAAGCACTGTGAGAAGACTCACCTCTCAGTCGAAACTCAACTGCTACTGCTCCCACTTCTAGAAATACCGATGCTATACACCACTTATACAGTTATGCCGGATAAGCCCTTAGCATTTCTTCCAAAACTAGGGGCCAGATCGAAAGTCGAATCAAGTCAAAAGTCAATGGTTAAAGTCAACAGTCAACATTGACTATAGTCATTGTTGACATCAGTCAACCTTCATACCGTGGGCATCATACATCGAGATAAATGGGCTTTTCCCGGTCCCCACATTGTGGCGACCTAAGGCCACGTCGTGGGATCTGGTTTTCCAATAGCTTAATGTGTTAAGTTGTTTTTTTCAATCCGAAGATCTTCAAAGCTTAGATCTGTCATGCCGTGGTGAGCAAACCCTAGCCTCCTTATTTTTTTAAATGGTTCGGTCAAGATGACCTATGTCACAGGCAAGAGGGGAGTATTCTTTATTTTTGAGCTCTAAAAAAGAGGTTACAAGTACAATTCTCGAACTCAAAACACATTCAATTGATTAGCAAGCATCCCTGTTTATAAACTATGGATCAGAGCTAAAACCCTAATGGGCTAAGCCTTGTAATCCATAGGCCCATGAATGATGTCGACCAATCATAATCGGCTATGTAGTAGCTTCGGGAACCTTCATCCTTCATTTACATTGCATGAACATCAACAACATACATGATGGAGCATCATGATCCATAGTTGGTCATCATGATGCAAGAGTGGCACATCAAGATCAATATGGCTCATCAACCATCATTGTGGCACATCATGCAATAATCATTGACCATCTTCAACTTCTGATCATCATTGAACAATATTGAGATTTATAGAGGACATTATAGCATAAGTGGCTCATCAAGGGATACCATGGCTCATTAAGGAACACATGTGGCACACCTTGCACCAAGATGATGCATTAAGCATGAGGATAATGAATCTTGTGCAAGGAATGGCACATCCTCTTCCATGTTGGCACACTTCCTTCACAGATGGCGCATCTAGGCTCCAAAGTGGCATATCTTCTTCTTGATGGTGCACCTACCTTTACAATTGGTGCACATTGATCATGGAGTGGTGCATCTACCTCCAAGGATGGCGCGCCCTCTTTATGGAGCATTATAAGATACTCTATTCCCTTCCCTAGTGGTCTATTCCTTTCCCAGGCGCTCCATACCCCCTTTTAGAAGATCCGTTCATTTGTCACATGATCCATTCATTTTCTGATTATCCATTCCCTTATCAGATGATACAATCATTTCTCACATGCTCCATGAACTCCAAGTGTTCCATTGAGTTTCAAGTGCTCCATCGAACTCCAATGCTCTATGCAAATGCTCTAAATGCTCAAGTCACATTTAGCACTCATCATTTAAACTGCAATTTAAAGTGTGGGTACTCCGGTGCTCTTGCTCTTCTTTAACCCTAAACATGATCATTGGCCTCATCAACCGATTGATTCTTTTGAATGGGATAGAATGCAAAAATAGCCAATGTAGAGGTTAATTTATGTCCTTCCTGTGTGAGTTCCTAAGTGAAGGGAATTTGAACCATGCTAAAAAAACTGTTGCAATAATGTAGAAAGAGATTATGGATAAAGTCTTCAGGGAACGTATTGTAGATACGTAACGAATAAGCTTGTCATTACAAATAAAATCTTTCTCCCAAGGTGTCAACATATTTGAACCACTTGCTTCATAGTTGACCCATACTGATTAGTTTTTGTTATATATTCATCTGCAAGGTAGATCTTGCAAATGTAAATGACTTCATGAGTAGAACAAAATCACTCTCGGCTTTTGTTGATGCTCTTCAAAAAAGTCCAATTATACAGTGAACTTCTTTCTAATTTGTTTCTGTTAATTTTACTCTTATTTGAATTAGTACATGTACGTTGCTTTGTTTAAAATAATCAGCTTACAGAAATAAAATGGTCATTTGAAATTCAAGCCATAATAACTAAGAGATAAAGTAGGGTATTAGTGGTTGATAATTGTTGACGATTACAGCTCATTTTACATACTGTTTTCTGCATTTTAGGTTGCATTCAATTTCTACTCTTATAGTATCACTCATGGAACTGATGGAAGGTGTACAACACTTCAAAATTCCACTAGAGGAGATAAATTTGGCCACCAGAAACTTTAGCGATGAAAATTACATTGGTAAGGGTGGATATGGAACCGTATATGCAGCAAAACTTTTCCTATCAGGGCAGCAGAGAACTGTTGCTATAAAACGGTTAAATGATACCTCTAAACAAGGGAAACGTGAGTTCTTGATGGAAATTCAGTTGCTTTCACGCTACAGACACAAAAACATCATATCACTTGTTGGGTTCTGTGACGAAAGTAGTGAAAAGATACTTGTTTATGAGTATGCAAAACATGGAAGCCTTGACAAGTATCTATGCAGCTCTGAACTCTCCTGGATGCAACGTCTCCAAATAAGCCTTGGTGCTGCCCGTGGCCTTAATTACCTTCATAATGATGTGGGACCCCAACATAGAGTCTTGCATCGCGATATAAAGAGCTCTAACATTCTGCTCGATGAGAACTGGGAAGCAAAAATATCTGATTTTGGATTATCAAAAATAGGCCCTTCAAATGTGGAGTTCACTTGTCTTTTCACTGGAGTTTGTGGCACAATGGGCTATCTTGATCCTGAATATCTAAATACTGGCGTTCTAACAAAGGAATCAGACGTCTATTCGTTTGGTGTGGTGCTTTTTGAAATCTTGTGTGGTAGGCTAGCAAATAGTAAATATCAAGATACGAGTGTGTTACTTTCTTCATTGGCGCCAAAGTGTTATGACGAAAACAGATTAGTTGACATTATACATCCTAGTGTAAGAATTCAAATGAAGGTAGATTCGTTGGACGTTTACTCAATGGTCGCATATCAATGCTTAAAAGAAAATAGAACTGAACGCCCAACAATGGCTTGGGTTGCAGAAAAACTTGAGAAGGCATTGGAACTTCAAGTACGTTTTTCGTGGAATACTCCATAACACCATTCTAACTCTATTTCCATCTTTTCCATTGAATAATTATTTGTTTTCATTTTTTCAAGGCTGGTTGCAAAGTAGAAAAATTTATTCGGATTGGAACATGGGGAAGACAAGGTGGAGATCCTCAAGAATATTGGTCTTTTCAACTTGAAAAAGACACTTATTTGTCGAAGATTACCATTGGTCATGGAAAAACAATATACTCTCTCACATTCACTAGTAAATATAAAGGGGGTGTGCACACTTCTAAAACGGTTGGTGGTGGGACCAATGGAGACAATGTTAATCCTGTGGTAAATAGATCTTAACTTAGCTGAAACTCATCAATACGCATTCTTTATCTTTGATTCAATAATAACAGTTATGCATACTTATGTAGGTCACTAGTGAATCTACAAGCTTTTTGAATTTTACTAGAAAGGTCAGTGGTTGGGCCAGTGGACACAAGGTTTCTCAGGTGAATGTATCTTAACTCATCAGCCAATCAATACGTATTATTTTTCAGTTTTCATTACAATATGACACTTGTGATGCTTTTCTTAGGTCATTCTTGACGATGATGAGCAAATAATTAGCATTGATGGGAGCATTGGTACTCGAGATGGTTATAAAACAATTTCTTCACTATCTTTTATGACCAACAAGAGGACCCGTGGACCTTTTGGTAAAGCAACAGACACTCAGTTTACTTTACCATGGGAAGAAGGCTCATTAGTCGGCTTTTATGGTCTTGCTGGCAATTACATTGACAGCATTGGTGTCTTTGTTAAAGCTTATGAGCAAATCATCAAAGTTGGAACATGGGGAAAGACTCAAGGTGTGGGTCCACAAAATCTATGGAGTTTCCAACTTGAGAGAAATCATCATTTGAAGAAGATAAACATAAACCATGGGGATCTGATATATTCTCTCATGCTCACTACAGAACATAGAGGCTTGTTACAAAATTCTAGACTGGCTGGTGGCTGGAAATTAGAAGAGACGCGTACTGAGGTGAGAATTTTAACTAAAAAATAACAAATACAGCCTTTAAGTTTATTATATATTGGGGTAGCTGGAAACATAGGGCTGCTACTCTGAGTAACATATAAAACGACATCATTTGGGCAAAATTTGAAAAGAACTAAGGCCTTGGAAAAGCAAAACCATGTTATTACTCTACCTTAATAATGTCAAGATAAAAATTTGTTTGAAGATGATTAAATGTAATTGAATCTTAAACAAAAAGAGAAACTGTTGACATTTTCTCATCGTCTTTTATATAATGCTAAGCTAAGGGCATTCACAATGAATTAAAAGATTTATTAGAGTTCAATTGAATGACAAATCATCATTTTACTTACTATACAACTCTACATTGATTTTTCTACATCAATAGAATATATATTTAATAGTTAAAAGGTTTTTTTTTCCTATGAAGAGTTCAATGACTATTGAACTCCATATTTATTGAATGTCAACATGACATCCCACAATAGAAGAGTTTAATCCATTGAATGTCAATTGGACATACTACCTCACTTAATTCTCCCATTAAACTATACATTGTGGATGTTCTAAATGACGGACACATATACAAACAACCAGCATAATGTTTTGCCATATGTGAAGCTTGTATCCATAGGCCCTGTACACAAATTGAGAGAGAAATTCCATTATTTTTACTACTATTTTTAGTAGGGGTATTGGTTAGCAATTTAACATATATATATGTGTGTGTGTGTGTGTGTGTGTGTGTGTGTTAATGTAGGTTATGTTTGATTGGGATGAGGAAATACGTGCCATTAATGGAACGGTTGGGCTATCAAGGGGAGATGATCCTGGTTGCGTAGTAATAACATCAATATCATTTGTGACAAACAAAAGAACCCACAGACCTTTTGGTAATGAACGAGGGAAGCCTTTCACAATATCATGGGATGATTGCTCTTTTATGGGTTTCTATGGTGCTGCTGGCTGGTATATCGATAAGATTGGAGTCTATCTAAAGGCTACTACATAAACTCTTCTCTTGACTATATTATTGTGCTCAACATTTTCACTACAACATAAGTACATTATGGTATGTTTTTTTCTAGAGGTATACAAGTCGGTATTTGAAGTACTTAGCAACGTCGTAATTGTAACTAAAACTTTGTAGTTGTTGGTAACATGTCATATGTATACACTATATTTAACAATCCTTGCCCGTGTATTTTAAAATATCTTTTTAAAAACAAATTTTAGTTTTTAAGGTAAAAAGTTTCATAGGTCATAACATTTGCGGAAACTAAACAGTCCCAAAATATTGCAAGAGGTTTAGTTTTTAAAAATCGAAATGTCAATAGGTATCATAACAAGAATCAAGTTTCCTACAAGTCGGGGTCATCTAAATGTCCTACACCTATAGTCCTTTAAAATCTTTAATCTAAACACACATCAAAATAAGTTAGGCAATGGATTTTACTAGTGAGTTAAAGTGAGAGGATATCAATCCCACTTACTTAAATCAAGCTCCAAAATTATATTTTTAAACTTGCGAAGATAGGAAAAACATTTGTTATCAAAAGAGCAATGAAATGAAAAAGTTAAGTAATAAAGTTAATTAAGAGACATGAAATTCATGTTACTACATCCTCCCTTGTCCATCTTATTGTTGGATTAGTGTCTAAGTCCATAACTATTTTGGTATGTACTTGACGCGATGGTGCATGGTCCTTTTGGGTTGCCTTCACCAAAGCAACTTGATTGGAGAAATAAATAAAGAGAGAAAGGTTATTATGATTTGTTAATATGTTATAAGAATAATATATTAAAGGAGAAATCATATTTGTTTAATTAATATTGGTCAATAATTAATTAGGAATTATTTTTATGATCAAGTGTAATTAATTAAACTAGAGGGGCTGATTTGTAATTATGTGATAGTTACAAAATAAGGTAAGGATTATCTTAAATATATGGTGAACGAATTTGAGGTGATAAGGCCTTAGAATTCGACTATGATAAGGATTCAAGGATTATCTTATGGGTTGCTTTTTGGATAAGAAACTAGATAAGGATAATGACTGAAACCCTATCTAAACACCTATATAAACACCCCTTGGCACATGAATTCGTGTATCCCTTCCCAAGGAGTCCTAAGGACGAATTCTAACCTCTCTCCTCTCTCTTTATACCTTCTCCATTTGCTCTTGGTGTTTGTAAGCCATTAGAGGAGTGACACTTGTGACTCTAAGCATTCCAAAGTCAATTCAAGGTGGAATTAGGATTGTTATTGCTACATAACAATCAAGGTATGTTCTTAAACCTTATTATATGTTGATATCGATTTCCATATGCTAATATTAGGGTTTATAGTCTTGGATTCAAAGCATGTACAATAGAGAAACCTAGATCCAAGCATTAGGGTTTGTATGAGCACATAGGATGTCTTATAACCAAAACCCATCAGTGGTATCAGAGCCTAGCTTGGTTTCAATTGTATTGATGCTTTGTATAACTGGAAAATTCGATTTTTTGGATTCTGGAGGCTGGACACGCCGAGTCCATGGCTGAACTCGCCGAGTCCATGCCTGACTCGACGAGTCAACTCGTCAGATAATGCTTATCTCCGGATTTCTTGCTGTTTTTGCATATGGATAGTTACCTTATCATGTTAGATCAATATTAATCCGATTATATGATATATTTGACTATATTTTTGATCTAAATGAAGATATTTATCAATTAATAAGATAATTCTTTCCTTATAATATAATTGATTAATTATTTTGAGTAAATTGATAAATTGTTTTGCAAGAAATCATTAAATAAATCAAATATGGATAATTATGTGATTAAATGTTAATTTAAAATTATTTGTTATTTGATCCTTGTTGTTATGAAAAGTTTCATATTTTCCCCTTTAGGTTTTATAGTTTAAATTTGAACCCAAAAGTTTTGAAGTTTTGAAATTTAAATAGTTAAAACCCTAATGTTTTGAAAAAGGTTTCAAAACTTGCCCTCAAGTTTTGGAATTTAAAAGTTGATTAAAAGTTAATTAGGAATGTTAAATTCTAAAACCCTAGTAATGTTTTGAAAAGTTCAAATACACCCTTATGGTTTTATTAATTAATTAAGGAGTATAATTAAAAGAGATTTAATAAATCCATAAAAGTTTAGGTTAACCATTTAATTGAATTAAAAGTGTAATTGTTAAAGTTAACCACATAGTATTTTAAAAGTGTAAAATACACCCTATACTATATATATAACATTAAAAGTCTAACATTATATATATATATATATATATATATATATATATATATATATATATATATATATATGTATGAGTAAAAGTCAGTCTTACCGTTAGTAGGCCTCATTCACGAAGCTGGTCTATAAGGGGTGTTTAAGGAAATTGCCTATAAAATGGCGATTGAATGGGTATCCACTCTTACCCACCGCACTCTTGACTAGTGGAGGGTCGTTAGCCGAACGGGTAGGATAGGACGAAACCTTCCATTATAAGTATAATGAAATACAAAGTAACTAAATGTTTTTCAAATTCCCAATCTTAGTTACTTAGGCAAAAGTGAATTGATGCAATTCCATGAAATTACACTTTGTGCCCTTGCGAAGACGTTAGTGGAGCGTGTGTGGTTTACCGGCACACTAAATGGTTCTAAGCAAAGGTAGCAAAGGGTGACTCAATGTTTGTCATAGTTCGGTGGAGCGTGTGTGGTTACCGGCACATCGAATAGGTGACTGTAACATGTGAGGGCACCATGTAGTTTGCATGGTTATTCACACCCGCTTTGTGATCCTCGGCATCCCAGTCACAAACAAGAGGGGCATATCGAGATTTAAACATGCCATTGAAAGTTCAATGAATCTCAAAGGATCTAGGAGTTTTCATAGATTTAAAACTTAAATTTCTTTTTCGTTTTTCATGGTGGAAATTAGTGAATCGTCATTCACTTACCTTCAAATATTCTGCAATTTGGGTTACGGCATCCCTCTCCCGAGTTGTAGAATATTGTGTTGGGTCCTAGCCTTAGTATTTCATTTGGGTGATTTACTAAGGACTCAATCTATCAACTAACTTGAATTCGTTTTTCTCCCGTTTTGTAGATGTCAAAGTTCGACAACTATGGTCTTCCCAAATCCCGTGGAACAAGCATTCCACATGAAGATGATATTCCACGATTCGATCGAGGAACAAGAGATCATGCTTCACTTCCTCCTCCTCCTCCAATTATTCTCCCTAACCCACAAGTTCAAAGGCTTGAAAAGTTCAAGATCACTCAAGCCCTTTTGGCAAGTGAAATAAAGAAGGAAAGTCGGTGTGTGCACACGTCCTAGGGATGAAGTCACACTGTTGGGATCCGTTGTCTGTGAGGAAATGGCTGTTGATTGGGTTCTTCAGTCACTTCCTAACTCATATAGTGAGTTCGTAAGAGAGTACTATATGATGAACCGCACGTGACCCTTATAGATCTCACCTATATGCTTATTGCTGCTGAATCAGCAATGGTTTGGCGCAATAGAAAAGCAAAGTTGATTGGTGAATCTGCCTTCGAGACCTCTATGGATATAGACAATGGCAACGAAAGACATGCTATGATTGAAAAGATTGATCATAAGAGAAAGGCGATGTCTGAAGTAGTTCCATGTCCTGTTCCAAAAAGAGTCAATTTGCTTTTATTGCCAAGAGAAGGGGCATTGGAGACGAAGCTGCCCTATTTACCTAAGAGATCTAAGAGATGGGAGAGTCGAAACGTATGGCTCTAATTTAGGTAAAATCCATTGACTAACTCTTTTAAGCTTCATTCTAGATTCTGAATACATAATGTGATAAGATTACAATTGATGTTTAGAAGGATCAAAGAAAAGAAAAGAAGCTTAAGGGAAGAAGTGAGCAGAATCTAACCGTGAAGGAATGGATTTCGATCGCGTTTCTCGAAGATTAGATTCTTGAGCTACTACTTAGAGTTAGAATTAGATTGCTAAGAAAGATGTATTAGCATAAGTTTTTCAATGAGTTGCATTGTAAGGACAAATTTTTCCGCAATAAAATAAATTTTGATTTTAAATTTTATTTATTTATCCTTACAATGGCGTGTATGAAAAATTGATGTTAAAATTATTAGCAATAATGGATTTGTTTCTTATTGTGTTATGGAAAGTCAAGAATTTACCAAATAGGGAGAGTTTCTCATCGCCCAAGTTTCAATTGGACAGAAACTTGGAATCATACAACTGGTTGCACGATGAATGAGAAATTTCATATTTGGAAATTAGACTAATTCATTGACAAAGTGTCAAGTGAAGGACTAGGAGATCGAGTACACAAAGTTGTGTGTTGATCAAGTTCACCATAAGAGTAACAAAGATATTCGTCATGATTTACTAAAGGCTTAGTAAATATGATTACACTTACAAGATTAAGTGTAATTCTGAATTGATTAAAGGGTTTAGATCAATAGTAGAACGAATAAGAAGAATCAAGTAGGCAGAAAGATAAAAGTTTCTCCATTCTAAGAAGAAGGGAGAGTAGCTTTTATGCTTTATGATAGTCTTAATGATTAAGAACCATATCTCAATTGATCCTCTAAGTGAGTCTTAGTACAATTGTATGTTTAAGAAGAGGAATCAAGGATTGAAGAAATGGTTAAATCAAGAAGTCTATCATACTTCGTTCCAATAACAAGTCTTAAAGTTAAGATTGTGACAATGAGTGAAAAGTATTAAAGGTTTATAACATTCATAAATGTGGAAAGTTGTGATGTCTTGAATAAGACAAAGACCAACTTGGACCAATTTATGAAGTGTTTTGATAAAAGCTACACTAACTCTTGAATATTTGGTTGTCAACAAATGTTTATTGACAAGAGAATCTTATATGTCAAGGAGTCAGTGGGAGTCTTAATGGTCTTGAAAGTTTCAAGAACAAATCAAATAAACCTTATCGATCATCACTAGCACACGAGTTGAGTTTACAACCTATCGTGTTGATGATATTTTGATTATGTGCTGTTCCAATTGAGTTAATTATGCATGTGAGTCCTATGAGTACTCATTTTGAACGCATAAAAGGCAAAGCACCTTGATCAATGAAAGGTACATTGATAGGAAAAGGTGAGATGCTTAACTACTTGGAAGACGTGGTGGGCAGCTGTGCTACCATAAGGCAAGAAATCAAGATTAAAAAGGCTCGGTCCATAT